CACTGGCTTAGATACGTCAACGATATATTTTGTGGATTTGAAGACAAAATCCCTCAACAGTCATTTCTATAACACGTAAACAACGTTCATTCTAACATCAAATTCATTCATGAAGAAGAGAATGAAAACCATGTTTTAAATTACATGAACATAACAATAGAAAGAAACTCCAACAGGTTTAACACAAAAATCTTCCACAAATCTGGTAATAATGATAACTATATAAAATGGAACTCAACTTAATAAAACAATTGGCACGTTATCATGTATTTACAACACAGCACTTAACATATGTCGTAGCAGTTATCTGCAGCATGAACTAGAATCAATATCTGCCACATTTATTAACAAATGTCACTTCCCTAAACACATTGTTACTAGAACCTTGGCCAAGTATAAAAACAAACTCAATAGCAGAAAAAAGAAAAAGAAAACAACATAAATTCCATAAAGGAAACAAAATGCACAAACTCTGATACGCTAATAGGTGTCTTACCATATCATGACTATGTAACCAAAAACATCATAAACATTTGGAAACAAGTATAAAAAACACAAAGTTACTTTTATTCAAAAATCGAACACTAAAATCAAAGGGCATCTCAGGAAGATTTATTCTGATAACTTAAACGACGGAAGCATCTATAAGTATCAACGCTAGAGCATTTACGTAGGCGAAACCGGACGCAACATAAGCATTAGGATAAAAAAACATAACTATCCCTCATTGCATACTTACGAACACAGCACAACAAATCAACATTAAATTAACAACTTTAAAATATTATACAATGATAACAATATTAATAGAAGAAAAATAAAAGAAGCATTAATTATTCGTGAACTAAAACCTAATTTAAATCAAAACACTGGTGTCACCATATATATGTTTTCTAAATTGGAACAAAATACTTGTGGAGTGTTTCACAAAATAGAGACAGTTACCCGATGATGGCCACACGAGTGGTCGAAACGTTGTAAGAAGTTAAATAAAAATAAACAATCCACTTAAAAGCTGTAACTTTGGATTTTAACTTATATGTATGCTGTTTTAGTAGTCTTTTATTCACGACAGTGAACCAATCTACCATATCTATTTGGTATTTGAATAATAGTTAACATTATAAAAAGGCTAGTCTTCTTCAGTTGATTTACCCAGAGTTACTGATGAAACGTGACAATGGCGAATCAAATGACAGATTGAGCTTCAAATATATTTTAATACACATTTATCCTAACTGAAATTCAACAGATGATGCGATGGACAAATAGTTTATAATTTTTAAAGTTTGTAAAAGAGCACGTAAATCCCTTGATTTTCCCAAATCACGTTAAAGAGATTACATTTGAAACTATGCTGATATGAATGTTTATTTGTTGGTTAAAATATTTCATGTATTTCCGTTTTTGTTTAGCTACTCCCAGTGTCGTGTTTAGAATTTTTGGGGCACTAGGCAAGCACGTTTTTAGCAACCCCCCCCCCCCCCCAACACACACACACTCACACG